TCAAAAAATGCTCCCTTACCATTCAGCGTTGTGACGCTTCATCACGCAAAACCTGCTTTCACCAAACACAACTTGTTCCCGGATCGACATCTGTGTTTATCCTGCAACAACGTTCCAGTCAAACACTCAGATATGAAGTTTATGACAAGTTTACAGTTTAGTCATTTGTAAAAATTGTAAGTTTAGGCTTTCAACCTGGGTTAGGTGGTTCAACATCAGTGTTATTCACTGATCATTTCCCTCTGATTTTAGGTTTAGGGACCCATGAACTCATCTAAATCAGGATGTGTCTTCAGTATTTTATGAGTAACTTGTTCATATCATAGTAAAAATATTAATAATTTGATCGCATATTATTATTATCATAGTGTGAAAGAGCTTGTCACTGAGAAACACTGATAAACAAGCATTCGTCACTGATCAGACGTTTTGCTTTTAAAACACCATAAAAAACAGTGACAAATAATAGAATTGTAACAGTAAGGTTTCATTAGTTAACTTCATTGACTTGAACTAGGAATGAACAATATATTTATTAATCTCATTTAATGTTAATTCTAGCATTTCCAAGTAACGTTAGCCAACATATTTAAACAAAAATTGTATTCGTCAGCTGTTGTATTGTAGGCTATTGATCAGCTGTATTTGTATTATAGCCACACGGTGTAACTCTTTTAGTTTATTCTTAGCTAAAAACACTTAGGCTAGTTCTTTCAAAAATATATGTGCTCATTAATGTTTATTTACTTCGTTCAAGTAATAAAGTATTCTCGTGAGTGTATAATATGCCATTGAAAATACATACGGGTAAGGGGTTCTAATGTCGGTCGCCTCCATCTTGAAAGTACATTAGCCAAAGAGGGACATACCCGGGTTAATTCAAGCTTCGCCTTTTGAGTTTACGTTTGAGTTAACACTCATGGACGAGGTCGAACTGGAAGCCATTTAATATTGGACTACATTGGCCACCGTAGGAGTTAAAACGAAATCGGAATTGAGAGGAACCGAAACTAATATTCACTGGATGGTCATATACCTTTTCACCACTAGATGGGGGTAAAAATCACACAGTGTAGATTTTAAATGTATTGCTCATTGTTAGTTTATGTGTTAATAAATGAGACATCGTTGAAAAGTGTTACCAGAAAGTAATGCATGGAATTGTATGAATATAGTATACAAAGCATAACATTTTTGGAGTAAGAATTTTCTAAAAAAAAAAAAAAAAAAATGTGATAGTTTTATTCAGCAAGGGTGCATTAAATTGATCAAAAGTGACTTTTTTAATGTTACAAAATATTCTATTCCAAATAAATGAGTTTGTTCATCAAAGAATCCTGAAAAAAGAGTGTATCATGTTTCCCACACAAAATTTGAAACTGTTGTAAAAAAATAAAAAATAAAAATTAATAATCATAAATGTTTCTTGAGCATCAGATCAGCATATTAGAATCATTTCTGAAGGATCATGTGACACTGAAGACTGCAGTAATGATACTAAAAACTCAACTTTGACATCACAGGAATAAATATATATTTTTAATAATAATTGTTTAGCCTATGTTTTATGCTTAATTCGATTTGTATCTTTTTTGTTGTACGAAATAAATAATATTACTGTTTTTACTGTAATTTTAATCAAATAGCTATTGTGAGCATATATTCAAAAAAAAGTATACTTCTAAACAGTATTGTGTAAATATTATTTCTATGAATACTGTTGAAATTGGGCCTTTAGTGCACATCTAAAATCACCGTCATCAAGAATGTTTGGTAATGTGGAAGTGTTTTCAGTGTTTAACTGTCAAACTGAAAAGAAAACAAAAACCAACAAAACAAACATGTCATTTCATAGTCCTTCATAGAGAAACTCCTGTCTGATTTCCTCTCTCCACCACCTTCTTCTCTGCTGTTTGTTTCTTCAGCTCTCACCTCACTGTGTCCCACAGGATAAAGTTCATCAGAAGCTTCTGAAGCAATACCATCTTCTCTCTCCCTCTCTCATTAGCATCCAAAAGGTCTGATGTCTATTGCGGGGAGAGGGGGCCGAGAGAGAGGGGAACAATTACCGTCCCTCCAGTCTTTTTTATCCTTTTCAAAGGGCAGGGTGATTAGGAGAGGAAAGTTTAGATTTCCTGAACTTGAAGTGGAAACGCAGCAGTGACAGACGCATCTCGAGACTCAATCCACATCTGGCTGAGAGCAGGGGGGAGTGTGTCTGTGTGTGTGGATGGCAGTACTGTAAACTCACTGTCTTCTGTTATTAAGCCACTTCACATACAACGACACCCAAATCTATCTAGTTTCAAACTGGAAAACAAACCAGATTTCATTTTTTACATTTTAAAAATCATGTTGGTTGCTCTTGACATGGTTTGATGAGATTATGGCATGAGAAGAAAAGTCCAAGTTGCTGCCAAAAATGTTTGAGAGCAGCGATCATAACAGAACTGAAATGATTAACACATCATTGAGGCTAAGTGATGATGATTAACACAATACTTCATTAAAAAAGAATATCAGTCAATTTTGGAGCTTGACTGTCTCCAGAGATACACAATGGATAGATACACAATATTAAAAACTATATGTACATATTGTTGGTATCTCAAACAGTGGGGGGAAAAAAATGAAATGATACACTCTAAAAAAATGCTGGGTTGTTTTAACCCAATTTTGGGTCAAACATGAACAAACCCAGCCATTGGGTTACATTTTTAAATTACATTTTTAAATTTTTTGAGTTTGTCCATGCATATTTTACCCAAAATTGGGTTAGAACAAAGTGAACACTTTAAAAAATGCTGGGTTGTTTTAAAATGTTTTAAAAATGTCATTTAAAAATGTAACCCAATGGCTGGGTTTGTCCACATTTGACCCAAAATTGGGTTAAAACAACCCAGCATTTTTTAGAGTGTACCATATATTGTATACTATAAACTGCTATAAAAGTTTGGGGTCGGTAAGAATGAACTTTTTAAATAAATTAAAACTTTTTTTTTCAGCAAGGATGCATTTGATCAAGTTAAAGTTATAAAAGAGTCTACCAGAGAGTTATCTTGGTTTTTTAGAAAATGCAAAAATGCAGAGTTTTCTGTGATATAGGGGTAGAGTTAGTGTAGAATTTGTACGATATAAAAATCATTCTGTCTATGGAAAGTCCTCATAAAACAAACTTGTGTCTGTGTGTATCTTGTCTCCTTTATTTTCCAAAGACTGACTCATCCGATTCCCCTGTTTACTGATTTAGGCCGGAGAGGAGAAGTGTGGAAAATATGCATCTTCTCTTATAAGTGTCCTTTTGTGGAGCACCAGTCCTCTGTAATATTTCTCACCGAGGTGAGAGTGTCCTTATGCCAGAGAGAGGCCGAATCTCTTAACCCCTTCATCACTCGCTCAAAACCTCCATCCGCGTGGAAAACACAAAGAAAAGTTTGTCTTTTAATCTAAACCTGTACTTTCCTGTGTTTGTTGCTCTGTAAATCAGCTGAATCTGCAGTGGAAAGATGTAAGGGCCCTTCACATTTATGGCCCCTAAGAAGTGCAGACTTCATCAACATCCTCTATCATCAACTCCAAGTGCGTCAGACAGACACTGATACACAGAAACCCAACGCTTACCATCTTAGATCATGTGAGAAAATGAGACAATATCAGGAGGTGTTTAAATAAAATAACTGCAACAGATTTCACTGAAATAGAGTGAATTAAAGTTGCATGCTGGAGTCCATAATAAAATTAATTCTCCAACAAGATGTTTGGTTAAATTGCAGTTCACTATATTGGCCCTGATGCACGATAGCCGGAGTATAAAATATCTAATTGTATATGATTTCAATAAAAAACTTGATTTACATATAAACATAACTCTCAATTACAAAAGAATAGGACTGTTTAAATGAGTTTACAGTAGGTTTAGATAAAGTAAACATGTCACAATGCAAGGAACTGCTAGGCCTATCATTGCTCAACTTGTCAGCCTATGGAAACGCACTACACTTATTGACTGATATTCAATAGGCTACTTTAAATTAAAACTGGCACGAAGTAAATTAACAATAACCCTATCCAATTTTAAAAACAACAATGGCATTGTTACAGTTACATTTAATAATTTTAAAATACTCATAATTTATGTTTGTTTATTATTATAAACAAAAGAATAAAAAGTTAGCTGTAGCCAAATTCAGGTCGAAAAGCAGCGCATAAATATGCCAGATATTGCTTTCGGACTGCACTTATGTGGCTGGAGTCATGCTGGATTAAGGGTATTCACACACATCACCTTTGGGCCATCATCCACACTTCAGTCGAGCACTGGCGCAGGACGCGTCAATGGCCGCATCCTAATGGCCCGTCCCAGTAAACACGAGCTTTCTCACATGTGTATCTGGGACAACAAAAGATTAGCATTATTCGCAAATATACAGCTGAGTTCAAAGGCACCGAGGGAGCAGACACCGTCTCTCTTCCTTCTTTTGTTTCAAAGGCGAGTTCGCGAAAAGGAAAAGATTTAGGCTGATAGTCTATCATTCCACGATAGCCTATACTCCGATGGTCTTATAAAATGAGCATTTTTGGTCAATGTTTCAATTTAAATAATTATAATATTAATGATAGCCAACATATAGACCTACATGAAAATAAGAAATGCGTTTAAAATAGGCTATTTCAATTAATAATAATAATAGTCAAAAATAAAAATGCTGAAGTAAAAGTGTGCAAATAAAAACAAACAAAACAGACTAGGCTATTATTAAAAAAACATTAAAGTAATTAATTATTATAGTCCAATACAATAGCTTAAGTTCTGCTTAGTTTTCTATATATTTTTTATTTAATTGTTATTATTATTAATGGCCTGTATCTTAAACGTTTTTTTTTCAGTGACTTTCAAGCACTTTAACACTTTGTAATGTGCCTATGTCAAGAATACTTTCCGTTTTGTGGCGACAAATTATCGGGCGCTATTATGGGCCTGGTCTCGCGCTCCGGGTCACGCCCCGTAACAGCAGGGGCTCAGTATCGGGCCTTTAAAAAGACTCCGGCCGCGTTAAAAAGGGCAGTTTAAGACGTGCTGTCAAAGCATCGTAACCTACCGGGATTTGGTGATTTCGGACTTAACCCAAGGTTGATTTTATCGGAAATATGTCTTCCTCAAGTCCCGACCAGCGCCTGGATCACCTCCTGAGCGCAGTGGAGAGCGAGTTTCAGAAGGGCAGCGAGAAAGGCGACGCGTCCGAGCGGGATATTAAACTTTCCCTTGATGACGCGGAGTTGTGGACCAAATTTAAAGAACTCACAAATGAAATGATTGTCACTAAGACTGGAAGGTATGTTGAGATTTGACACGCTCGATTAGACATTTAGCAACGTTTTTATTATTATTTTTTTTTTAATCCAGTAGCCTCTTAATTTAACGTAAAAAGCACGAAAATTGTCCTCGCTAAATTCTTACTTTTTATTTTTAAGTTAGGCTAGTCGCTAAAAATAAGGGAAAAAAATTCTCGATCGTTACATTTCTCGCGATCATAATTTATCGAGGTCATTCAGTTTGAACGCTATTAAAATGTTTTTGATAAATCTTTGTCTCGTCTTCTAGGCGAATGTTTCCCGTGCTGAGAGCCAGTGTCTCCGGTCTTGACCCCAACGCAATGTACTCGGTGCTGCTGGACTTCGTGGCGGCCGATAATAACCGGTGGAAATATGTGAACGGCGAGTGGGTGCCGGGTGGAAAACCCGAACCTCAGAGTCCGAGCTGCGTCTACATCCACCCAGACTCACCCAACTTCGGCGCGCACTGGATGAAAGCGCCCGTCTCTTTCAGCAAAGTCAAACTCTCCAATAAACTCAATGGAGGAGGACAGGTAAAGCAACTCTTTAGATCCCGGTGGTGAAATAAGTAGCCTAAATATACAGTAAAACGTTTACTAGGCCTATATATATATATATATATGAAATTATTGTTATTATTTTTATTATTAATATAAAAAAAAATTATTGTTATTATTATGAAATTATATATATGTGTATATCATTTCATTTAAAAACTCAACATTTACATTTCATAACCAATATTTTTCTTCTTTTTTAGATTATGTTGAACTCTTTGCACAAATACGAACCCCGTATTCACATAGTAAAAGTCGGCGGGATCCAGAAAATGATCAGCAGTCAGTCTTTTCCTGAGACCCAGTTTATAGCAGTCACAGCGTATCAGAACGAGGAGGTGAGTTTTTGATGAATGACGCCTGAGATGTTCCCTCGACCTTCATAATGTTGCATTAATCAAACATTATCCACTATTAATGAGCTCTAATCCTTCATTATTTTCAGATCACAGCTCTGAAGATCAAGCACAACCCATTTGCCAAAGCATTCCTCGATGCCAAAGAAAGGTACAAGAAAAAATACATTTCTGTAACCCCGTTTCGATAATTGATGTATTGTGATGTAACTGAAATGTTGTTGTCATGTCAACAGAAGTGACCACAAGGACATCCCAGACCACAGCACTGACAATCAGCAGTCTGGATACTCACAGCGTAAGTGAACCAACGCTCAAATGAACTCGTCCCCTCAAACAGTAGCCTATATTTAACGTTTGTGTCTCCCTCCAGCAGTTGGCGGCTGGTTCTTGCCCAGTAACGGCCCTATGGGCCCCAGCAGCAGCCCTCCCCAGTTCAGCGGGGCCCCTGTTCACTCCTCGGGCTCGTACTGTGAGAGATACTCCAGCCTGAGGAACCACAGAGCGGCCCCGTATCCCAGCCATTACCCCCACCGCAGCACTACCACCAGTAAGAGCTAATACATTCAGTTTCAACTCCGGCATGATTGTGTTTACATACGTTATTGTATAATGGAATTAAGTCACACTTTATATTAGGCCGCCTAACTTACATAAAAACGAAACAAAATTGTAGGTACAATGTACTTACTGTGTTTGTTTTTAGTTAGGGACAGGTTTGGTTAGGTTTGAGGGTGGGTTAAGGTGTAAGGAAAGGGTCAACAGTGTAATTAGATGCAGATATACAGTGGTGTGAATAAGTTTGGACACCCATGCTAAAGTTGCCTAAAAAGAGGAATAAAAAATCATCTTTTGGATATTGATGTTAATGCCTTAATTAGAAAAATGAGGAAAACTTCAACCTTTAAGGACACCAATTTTCTTTGTGAATGAATAATGTATCATAAATAAATAAATGTTTTTCCTTAAAATACAGGGTGCATAAGTAAAGTCAGGGCACCCCTATGTTAAATTCCCATAGAGTCAGGCAGATTTTTATTTATAAAAGCCAGTTATTTTCATGTATTTCAATATGCATCCTGATAAAGTTCCCTTGGCCTTTGGGATTAAAATATCCCCACATCATCACATAAGATCATCTTTCAATGCAAATCAAACCAGCTATTAGGCTAACTGAAGTAAAACCATGCCAATCTCTAGGTGTGGTGAATGATGTGTGATGATGTGGGTCTATTTTAATCCCAAAGGCCAAGGGAACTTTATCAGGATGCATATTATCCTGGATCCATGAAATAACTGGCTTTTAAAAATAAAAATCTGCCTGACTCTATGGGAATTTAACATAGGGGTGCCCTGACTTTACTTATGCACCCTGTATTTTAAGGAAAAACATTTATTTATTTATGATACATTATTCATTCACAAAGAAAATTGGTGTCCTTAAAGGTTGGAGTTTTCCTCATTTTTCTAATTAAGGCATTAACATCAATATCCAAAAGATGATTTTTTATTCCTCTTTTTAGGCAACTTTAGCATGGGTGTCCAAACTTATTCACACCACTGTATATTTATATATACACATTATTTTAAGGTGTCATTGTTACAGTGTAATTATATATTTAAGTACTGAGTATTATTAAGCAACATGCATTGGTTGATTGGCTGAGGTAACATGTAATTATGCATAATTTACTGTTATTACTAATTACATGTAACAAGGACTGTCAGTATTACCAACGGGAATTCCTACGAATTTTACGAGGTGGCTAATTCGTAACAAGTTTGCTAAATCGTACATATTTTACGAATTAGCCAATTCGTATGAATGACCTACCCCTGACCCCGCCCCTAAACATAACCGTCACGTGGGTTTAGACAAATCATACGAGTGAGGTCGTATGAATTAGCCACTTTTGAATCACTCGTACGAATTGGTCGTGAGATAGCGCACTGTAGGTATTACAGTGTAATTAAACATACCTACTATAGAGTTTATGAGGATTTGGTTTAGGGTTAATTGCATGCAATAATATAAATAATTTATAGCTGTTACTACACTAAATCCATGTAACGTGCAACAATGACACTGTAAAATGCATATTTTTACACAGTACCCTTTGACTGTATCGATCAAGGCAATGGATTCTGGGGGTGTGCAGTTGGAAGAAATTAAAATTGTAGACCATTTTAGCACAGTAACATTGTCATCCATTTATTCCATGCACTTGTGTTTTGCTTTTAGACAACTACATGGACAACTCTTCAGGAAGTCTTGCTTCTCACGACAGCTGGTCAGCCCTGCAGATCCCCAACTCTAGCGGCATGGGCACCTTGGCCCACACCACCAACACGACCTCTAACACCAGGTCGGGACTTTCTTGTCTACACAGGATTTGTCTGTATTAACCTATGGATTCGCTGACTAACCATGTTGTTTCTGCGTCACAGCCAGTACCCAAGCTTGTGGTCCGTCGCGGGGACGACCCTCACCCCGTCGGGCTCGGCATCATCGGGGTCCATCGCCGGCGGCCTGACGTCTCAGTTCCTGCGCGGCTCTTCGGTGTCCTACTCTGGGCTGACCTCGTCTCTGCCCGTGTCCTCTCCCTCCTCCATGTATGATCCGGGCTTGAGCGAGGTTGGCGTGGGAGATGCCCAGTTTGAGAGCTCCATCGCCAGGCTTACAGCGTCCTGGGCTCCTGTGGCACAGAGCTACTGACCCAACTGAGACTGATGGTGCATTATGGGACATCCTACAAAGGAAGATCTAGAAGAGCTTCAGAAAACGGGTCCATTTTTAAATTCAACAATCAAGAGCTGACAATCACTTAATCATAGAGTATCTATATTTACATTTTAGACATCCGCCATAAAATGGGGCCAATTATTATGTTTATTCTTAATAATGTTATCTAAAATATTAATAAGACCAAATCGTGCTGTTGACTCACTAAAATGTATATGTGTGTAAATAAATAGAAATTAACGACCATTTTCAATGTATTGCAGTATATAACTGTAACAGTCTTACATGTGCTTTCTGTAGAGCGAGAGAAAGACGGACTTTGAAAACGGTTGAAAACACAAGAGTGACCCTGTAGTTACGTCTGCAATCCGTCCTATAGAGAAATCATCTGTACATATCTATCTATTTGTATTTGTTGGACTCTTTGGGAGTTTTATTTATGTCATTTTAATAATAAATTAAATTTCTTTTTTTTTTTTTTTCTGTCAGACACTTGCCAGTGGTCTTTATTTATCTTGTTTTTGTTTGTTCGGTTTGGACAGATCTTGAATAACACTGCAATTATCAGAATATCAATTGATCATTTTAAGAGAGTGAATGTAAACAAAAATGAACAGGGAATAAGAAAATAAAATAAAATAAAAAAACAGTTCATTGAAGTTCTTCTATAAACAACCCAAATGTAAATGATCAAAATTTAACAGCTAACAAAACATATTTCTTAATAACAATAACGTCCTAAATGATAATTGGTGTTAAGTCCTATGAAACAGTTCAGTATTAATGGGAGGTTTTAAATATTTGCTTGTCCTGCATTTATCATAAATTAGACATGCATGAATAATCTGATATACAAGTGTTCTCAGATTCAGATTATTTTATTTCATGCCATGTCATGCAAAAAAATCATTTACAAAAATACAAATATCATATAAATACAACAAAAACAAAACAAATAAACAAGAAGTCATATTATACAATATAGACAAGTGTTCTCAGGTCTTTGTGTGCACAATTATGTCTAATCACTTAAAGTCTTACTGTTCTATTATTTGATGTGTATTGTTGAACATCTTGAGCTGAATCAGTGAGGCAGTTTTAGCGACGTGGAAGAGACTCGGAGCATGTGATGCGCTTCACAATCTCTCACAGCGCTTTGCTAGAATCTGCAGATCCGTGTGACACATGGTCAACACATTTCAAATAAGAGAAGAAAAAAAATCAATAACAAATTGCAAGTGATCCTGACACCAATGAGAAAATTAAAATGGCAAAACCTAAAAAAAAAAACCCTCCAATAATTTAATATTCTAAAAGAGACACACGTTCTCCTTTTTTTTCTTTTTTTGCATTAACATTAATGTTGCACGCTTTGCTGTTAACCCTAAAACCGTATTCTGGACAAACATGGGCAAAATAGTTTTTTTTTTTAAGTGCTACAAGACTTGGCTACTTTTCCTAAGTTTGCCTCCTGAACACACACACAATGCTTTTTGACTCAATTCTACAATGTTAAGTGGGTGAAAAAACTCCTTAATCTTGTATTTGGGTCAAAAATGGGCACCCATAGAAATGAATGGGAAAAACTGTAATTTAGAGCATTCTAAAATAAGCCAAAATAAGACACCAGGTGACGGCAAAGTCACTTTTTTTTTTTTTAGCTCTAAGAACTTATTGGAATTATATTTTAATGCAGTTAATAAAATAAAACAGAAAAATAAGCATAATTTACATAGAAAATATGGTACTTTTTGAAGTAAACAAATTCAAAAATACCCCCGAAATAAAAAAAAAACACCATAAATGGATAGTCAAAACTTTATCGAAGACAGTGATATAACATTTATAATCCTCTGTGCCCACATTTGTCCACAATAATTCTATTATTATTATTATAAGTAGTAGTAGTGATGGTTTATTGTTATTATTTAAAGCTTTGTTTAAATTATAACTATACATAATAATAATTATTCTTATTACAAATAGTAGTAGTATTAATATTGGTAGTGTATTGGTATTATTATTATTTAAAGTTTCGTTACAATTTTAAAAATAGTAATAATAATAATCATGATGGTAATGGTGGTGTATTGGTATAGGCCTAGTATTTTATTCTATTTTAAAAGGTTTGTTTTCTCAGGTAATCAGGATTAAGATCTCTCATTAATGAAATGAACGCTCTGTGCATGAGGTGTGTGTGTGTGTGTGATATAGCAGCTGATGTCACTGCTCACTGACAGCACTGGAGATCTGCGGCCCGGGCCGTGATTGAGCACTCAACACTGGGGCGTAAATGAGGCCTGGAGGGTCACGGGGACACGGGCAAACAATAATGAAGGAGCAATGTGACAGGCAGCTGTAGAGCAGTGTGTGTTCCCAGAGCAAAGAGAACAACCATGAAAGTTCGTCTTTCTAAACAGATCTCGGTCTGTTCTGTGTGGAGGTCCAAACTCTCAGAACGCAGCCACTGTTGTAAACGCACTTATGCAAAGCTTATATCCTGACAATTTAGTTTAAGTGGTAATCTCTAACATTTTACAATGTTAAAAAAATCTGAAGAAAACATAAATACACTTGTATTTGAGAGTCTTAACACATATCCAAAGTTTCGTTTTTTGTATTAAAATGTTATGAAATCAGAAATTATTATCATGCTAGAGAAACCAAAACGGAAACCATTACCACGTCTTCTGGGATTGCTCTGTTAATACATAAATCTTTATAATATATTTTTAAATGTTTAATACCATTTGATAGTAAAACCTTATACTGTAAAAAATATTGTTGGTTTAACTTAAAAAAGAAGTAACCTGGTTGCCTTAAAATTTTAAGTTCATTGAAATGGAAAAAATGAAAGCGAGTTAATACAATGAAGGAGATTGATTTAATCATCAGAAACTCAGAATATTATGTTATCTGAACTACATCAATTATCTAAATTGATTTGACAAAAGAAAAAAATCTTGTGATTACAAATCATGAATATATATATATATTTTTACAGTGACCTCAAGAATGGTTAAAAAGAGAAATATTTAATAAATATATTGCTGGTGGCTGTAAAGAAGAGCTTTACCAAAAAATGGTTGTCACACGAGAGCCCTAACCTAAACGCATGGATGGAAATTAATTACAAGGAAAAGATATCAGCATTTTTAAATCATAAACTGGAAAATTTGCTTTGTGCCGGTAAAAATGGACCAAATCTGCAACATCTCAAAGATCTGACTTTATTTTCTAGTTAATATACATAATGCCCAGGAAAACTTTTTTTTTTTTTTTGCTGTTTTGTTAATAAAAAAGAAAAAAGTTTACATGACTTTATCTGTGTGGTCGTGTATGTACGGGCATATATTTGTATGCTGTGTTTGTATGTTTTTGATGTGAGGATAACTGACCTACATCTGATCAAAGTGTATGTTTATATATGAAAATGTAAATAAAAAAAACGTTATACCTCTTCCTGGTCAAATCGGACCTGAATGCATCAGGAGGGTTTAAAAAAATAATGAGAAACACACATATATTAATTTAGACTTTAAATTTAAGACTTAAAATCTCAAAATGTACAATACTGGATGGGGTGGGCATGAAGATCTGGCTTGATAACACACACTGTTAGACCTTACTAGGTTTTTTACAGTAAAATACTGGCAACACTAATAAGTTGTATTTTTTAGTTAACTTGAGTTTTAGTGCATTTTTACAGTAAATTACTGGCAACAGTTTTGTAAAAATGCACTAAAACTAATAAGTTGTATTTTTTAGTTAACTTGAGTTTTAGTGCATTTTTACAGTAAATTACTGACAACAGTGTTGTAAAAATGCACTAAAACTAATAAGTTGTATTTTTTAGTTAACTTGAGTTTTAGTGCATTTTTACAGTAAATTACTGGCAACAGTGTTGTAAAAATGCACTAAAACTAATAAGTTGTATTTTTTAGTTAACTTGAGTTTTAGTGCATTTTTACAGTAAATTACTGGCAACAGTGTTGTAAAAATGCACTAAAACTAATAAGTTGTATTTTTTAGTTAACTTGAGTTTTAGTGCATTTTTACAGTAAATTACTGGCAACAGTGTTGTAAAAATGCACTAAAACTAATAAGTTGTATTTTTTAGTTAACTTGAGTTTTAGTGCTTTTTTACAGTAAATTACTGGCAACAGTGTTGTAAAAATGCACTAAAACTAATAAGTTGTATTTTTTAGTTAACTTGAGTTTTAGTGCATTTTTACAGTAAATTACTGGCAACAGTGTTGTAAAAATGCACTAAAACTAATAAGTTGTATTTTTTAGTTAACTTGAGTTTTAGTGCATTTTTACAGTAAATTACTGGCAACAGTGTTGTAAAAATGCACTAAAACTAATAAGTTGTATTTTTTAGTTAACTTGAGTTTTAGTGCATTTTTACAGTAAATTACTGGCAACAGTGTTGTAAAAATGCACTAAAACTAATAAGTTGTATTTTTTAGTTAACTTGAGTTTTAGTGCATTTTTACAGTAAATTACTGGCAACAGTGTTGCCAGTATTTTACTGTAAAAAACCTGGTAAGGTCTAACAGTGCACTCTAAACAATGCTGGGTTGTTTCGACCCAAATTTGGGTCAAATATGGACAAGCCCAAATGTTGGGTTAAAAATATAATTTAAAATCTTCAACTATCAACCCAACATTTGGGTTTGTCCATATTTGACCCAAATTTGGGTCGAAACAACCCAGCATTTTTTAGAGTGCATACAAATTTGCAGATTTTGTTTGCTAGAGGATGCGATAAATGGTGAGGACGGCACTAACCCCGTACGTCACATACATTTATGTGCATTATGAATGTAAAAAGGGACACTTAGAAAAATCCGGATGACGTTGCATTATCAAACCAACATCATCGATGCTGCTAGCGACTAACTAACAATAGCAATAGCTTTTAACTTATGTCCTGTGATTTTTAGTGAAGGTATGATGAAGTCATTTCTCCTCAACTTCAAACAGGTGTCCTACAGAGCAACCACAGGTGTTTCTTCAAATTCATCTGATCATATTCTCTCTGTCTGCACACTCATAACATCCTAAACACACACATATGGCAGCCTGCCTGTGTTGACCCTTTGTTAATAATAGCTTCATTGGGTCTCTGTCTTCCTGGCAAGTGTGTCTTTTAAATACGCTCTTCAGAGTGTGCTCGGCACACAGGTGAGGAAAGGACGGCTTGTAGGACCCCTCACTGTGAGGACAAATGAGATCATTGTGTTCTGAAGTGTGCTATTTGTTGTTTTCCATTGGTGCCCGCTTTACCCATGTGGACCTCACCAGGCTTGAGTTTGCTTGTTAACACTGCTAACATCGCATGTTACTGAGAGAGTTTATGTTGAGAATTATGTGTTTATGATACATTAGCACAAGTCATTCTCTGAGATGGCTTCTGTACTTCTGTTATTTTTGTGTATGTTGTGTCGTTTAAAACAAATTTCACTGTAAAAAAAAAAAAATC